ACAGGCAGGAACCACCACCGAGCCCGCAAAAGACGAGGCGCCTGCTCAAGGTCTTCAACTGCCGTATTGACCAACTTTGTCTGGTGACATAGCAACTGAGCCAGGCCCGTCGGTCCCGACGTCGGCCTCGGAACCGGTCACTGAGCCAAAGACATTGAAAAAATAAAAGTAGGAATAATAATAATAATAATAAAGCATAAAAATAAATGCGAGGTAACACAAAAAAAATTAAGGGGACGAGGGGTCGCGCGTCCCACTGGCTGCGACATGGCGCATGCCCAACCCGCACATGGTTGCACCTCGCCGTCCATACCACGCTTGCGCCACTCACCTGGACGACGACCTAAACTTCCTCCCACATGGACGTCGTCAAACGGACGAGGCCGCACCGTTGTGACTTGCAGAAAACATGTCAAATACCCTTGTAATGATATTTGGTACGACACCGGTCCCCTTGCACTATGAACGTTAGCATTCACTGCTCTACCGCTCGGGGGGACGAATGCCCCCTAGTGGGTGATACCGGCCAGGGGTCGGCCAGTAGCATTGGGAAAAAGCTTCTTCGATGGGCTAGTCGTTGTGCCTCCCCTCTGGTTCCTTTGCCCTACGAACATTAGCAGTCCCTGCTCTGCCGCTCGGGGGGACGAATGTTCTATCTCTAGGTGGCAGATGCCAACCTTGCCCAGGAAGGTATATGAGGCCCATGGGAACTGGACCCAAGACCTGCCACTTGCGTGCCTTACCAACCGAGTTAGGCCTCTAGATCGCATTCCATTTGTCATGATTTTATAGCACAAACGTGATAACATTGAAAAAAAAAAAAAAAAAACAGAACGGCATGTTACTGGGCTTGATCCTAGTTTTGCACTGGGTTTTTGCCAGGCCTTACCTTGGTCTTCCACGAGGTTCTCACTGGGCCTTACCTCGGTCTTCCACTGGGTTCCCCAATCTCATACACCCCCCCAGCGTTTAACCCTAAGGCCCACGGCAAACTTAGCGGTTGGGCACGCGGACCCTCGGTAAATCAATAAGTCTGGACAGAACGGTCTTTTATGTCTTTTTTATTTACCGTTTTATAGTATTACGGGGAACCCCGTAGCAACCAGAACGGCCTGTTACTGGGCTTGATCCTAGTCTTACACTGGGCTTTTACCAGGCCTTACCTGGGTCTCCCACTAGTTTTGTTTTGTTTTTGTCAAGTCCATGGTGTTGTAGAGGCCAGTTACTGAGTGCACAGTGATCACCTGGAGCAATAGGTCGTGGGTGTCCTGGACTATGAGACCACCTCCCATCCTATCCTTACGTCAATACTCCTAACGCACTCCCTATTCCACTATCCTACCTCAGTGTGACCAGCACTTAGGACCATTACCCTACAAATTGGCAGGTAACTTGGACCGAACAACAGTGATAGGCACCAGGGTTGATAGGTTGCCCAACCCTGGTGGAAGCGGAATCGGACAAGCCTTGTCGAAAGAGAACTTCGAACGTCGGGCCCAGACAATCTACTACAATCCCCAAGAGACTTTGGGCCCTAGGTTCAGACAGGGCAGCACCCATTGAAGCACTTTTACCGTCCTTCCCCTAGCTTAACTAAGGCCAGGGGAAACTCGGACTGGCCTGAGCGACTTACACCCCTACCCTTACCCTACTGTCTAAGCCTTATATAGCCCCCAAACAAGTTCTATCCGAATATCAGTAGGGACTCCGTCGGCCCTTACCTGTACCTACTGCAGATACTAGACCCCCCCAGTGACTCGACCCCCCCAGTCTAATAGTTATGTAGTTTGCAATCTATGTGTATACCTGAAGGCTATGTATGCGTCGTGTATCTATGTATGAAGATGTATCGAAGCTATGTATATGGAAACTTGTGTATGTAGCCCGTAGGCCATGTATAATTCGCACCATGTGTGGAAACTTGTGTATGTAGCCCGTAGGCCATGTATAATTCGCAAGCTATGTATATGCCCAAAGGCTGTGTGTGCTCAATGAATCAATGTATCGAGATACATAGGCAGCATCATGTGTGTATATCGAAGAGAGAACGGGGTAAGTTGGACAAGGACCCCCCCAAGGTCTGAACCAAGCTCAAACCCGTGACCTTGTAACATGTAATCGAATGACTTTACCATGTGAACGACTAGCGGAAATGGCACGAACGTGTGATATTCGAGACTGGGGAGATCAACAGAACACCCAAGACCAACACTCGCAAGCAACCCATGTGAAACCCAAAACCAACATACAACATCATGAACAACATACCTTTCGATCACAACTTCGGTCGTCCACTGCTCCTCTTTGGGTCTTAAGCACCATGGACCTGCAGAAGCTACGCGGTATGCTAGGAGATCCAGAAAATGTTGAAGCTGAAAGGGGCAGTTGGAACTAAGGAGGAAAAAAAAAAAGAAAAAAGAATCTGTAACTAGAACGTGGGATTATAAGGGGATGTATCTCCCCACGTTAAAGCGGAAGATTCGTTCTCATTTTGCAAATCTTCGTTGTTTTCCCAATACAACAACAACAAATATGCCAGTGTACCTTACCTTGTTCTGACAGACGATTCATTCTAATGTATGATGGCCCCAATGTATCCAAATGCGGGACTGGTGACCGCCATAAAAAATGAGAATGAATCTTCCGCTACAACACAGAAAGATGCACCCGCCATAACATTCTACAACTGTGGGACGAAGACAAACTGTGATCAACGTACTAGGCTGCATGATTAAGGAGGACGGCCACGAGCACAAGTCACATAACAAGAAGCAAAAAAAAAAATGGAAAAAAGGGATAGAGAGATTGAAAGGCGAACGGCGAGTGGCAATGGTTTCTCTTCAGTTTGCAAGGGAGGGTGGACCGGGAAGTGGCCAAATGGGGAAGGTAGGAGGAAGCGGGCCTCTAGCACATAAAGCATCTTGTTAGGGCTTGGCAAGAAGAGCTCTGCAGAAGAGATCCGCCATTACAGGGTAAAGGTTGAGGAGAATATGACGAAGGTTGGGTATGTGCAAAGCTTTTGTCGTAGGGCAAGAAACAACCCACAACTCCCGGGCAACCAAGATCGGACTTCCATTTGTTGATAGCTTGAAGTAAGGAATCAGTCGTCTCCCGTTAGATGACGCGCAATCATGTGTGTCAAGTGTTGAACGGCGTACCCTTAGGAAGAGCACTTTCGAAGAGATAAAGTAGATCGATTGAAAGCAGTAAATGACTAGGACAGCCATGAAATGGGGATGTATCTCCCCATGTTGAAGGGACAGATTCGTTATCATTTTGTAAATATTTGTTCTTTCCGGGTGCAATAGCAGCAAAAGTAGCCATGTATTTACCTTGTGCTGGCGGAATATTCATTCTCGTTTACCATGCCCCCACCATATCCAGGTGACCGCAAATAAAAATGAGAAAGGATCTTCCACTACAAATGTCTCATGTGCGCACTGCCGTGTTCTAGAGACCAAGACAAGCAATGATCAATGTACTAGGCTGCATGGATGAAAGGAGGGCGATGACGAGCAAGAAGCGTTGAAAAAAAATATTTGTAAAATGAGAGTGAATCTTCCATAAGAACATAGGAAAATAAATGGCCATGAATCTTCCCAAAATCTAGTGGAAGATTCTTTTTCGTTTTCACATGTCATTTTTTGGGGAGCCACAACAACTTTCAGCGGAAGATTCTCTCTCTCTCTCTCTCTCTCTCTCTCTCTCTCTCTCTCTCTCTCTTGGGACCTGTCTTTTTTTTTTTTTTTTTTTTCCACGATTCCAATGCACAGCGCACTGTGCCCCGCACACCCAGCCCCACACCCCTGCCCCTGCCCCAACCCCGCACCCCCGCCCCCGCTGCCAGCCAACCCCGGCCCAGCACCCCGCTGACCCCCGCCCCCGGCCCCGCGCCCGCACTACATGGGGGTGGGGTGTAGCCCCGGGGGGGGGCCGAGGTCGGGCCAAAACTGCAATACTGCAGTTTGGCCCAGGGGGTGCAGGCTGCGGCTGCGGACCCCCCTGTATTTTTTTTTTTTCTGATTTTTTTTTGGATTTTTTTTTTTTTACTTTTCTTGCCGGGGACAGGGGTGTCAACCCCCGGCCCCCGGGACCCCCGCCGGGGCCCCGGGGCCGGGGCTCGACAACCCTGGTCAACTTTACTGTTCCTTTTAACTCACACCACGCCTCACACACTCCAACCCCAACCATTATTTATTTTTTCATATAAACCCATCAGTTGTTTATAATGGTCATTAAAAGAAGTGCAATTAAGACCCTCAAAGAAACATATAAAATCTCATGGCCAAGGCATCAAGTTGAGGTAGATGTATAAGCAAAGAGTGTCGTGAGTCGACAAGTCGGCGATCAACCAACCGACCTATTATCAAAGATAACATAAGTTGATCCTCGTAGGATCGGGCTGAAACTTAATCAGATCGTGAATTGAGATAACCAAAGAAGATTTGTAACTCAGCACATGCCAAATCCCAATACTAAACATTAAGTGTATGGAGAAGAAATCTCCATATCACATTCCACTCAAACTCTCATAGGACTAAAACTCTAAATCAATCTTTCAATGAACCTCAGAGAAATAAAAGAAATTATAACAGCATCTCCCTTGTATAGGGTGGATCGCCAAGACTTTTCATATCAGAATATAACTTAACTCTCCAAACTAAAAAAATTTCGGCAATGTTTTTTGTAGGAAAAGTATCTTCTCAAATTTAATATAAGACTAAATGTAAAACTAAAAAATATTCATGACTTCACAAAGTTAAATTTTGTTTAACTCCCTGATTTAATACAAATTTGGGCAGCATCTCCTTTAAAGAAGTAGGCTTCCCAGATTTATACTAAGTCGGATAAGAACTCGAAATGAAACTTGAATTATTGCCATTACGAAATTTAACTAACTTCTTAGTGTGTGATTATGTATGGATAGGGCTAATTTGAAGGTTTGATGATGATGGAGACGGAAGGTAGTGTTAGAATGTTGGCTGGGTCTAGAATAGTTTCCGTTGTAGGGGCCCTGGTACCACTGGACTCCGGGGTCAGAAGAGGTCAATATCTGTCGTGCAAGAGCTTACAGGAAAAAAAGGCTTGTTTAAACTGCTTATCTTAGGCGGGTATCTCAGTTGGGTCTGGTACCAGGTTTTTCGTTTGTACTTGTTTGTCTGTGAATTGTGGTGTGGATTTGTTTTTTATGCGAGTCAGGCACTTTGACGCAGTCCGCGGATGTATATATACGATATGTACGAGGAGGTCTATCTCTTTCAGGACTAACGTAGCTGAATATCACCCGGCATTCCGGAGTGTAGGGGATGGACAGCACGGAAATGGGAGTGACGGTAAGAAGGGTTTAGGTTGAGGGTGAAGATAGGTGGTACCCCCTGAGGATGGCAACGTGGCGGTTGCCGAAACGCGGCGTCGGGGACACCCAATCCTGATTCATGATGATTTTCAATTCTGTAATCATTCGAGTTGACATTTTTTGTACGTGTCTTGCGCCTTTGACGCATTTTGCATGAGTTTACTTACTCTGATGACCTTTGTATCACTTACCTGATACGGCACATGTGAACTGTCTTGGAGAGAAGTTACCGAGAATAATGAGCGTGCTGATCCTAGCACCTGCACTTGTTGTGCTATGTTTGACGGGAACGTGTACTGACGAGAAGATGGGAGATTGACGCGAGTACGACCGGAGATACACAAGAGCGGGAAGTGAGGAGCGTGGGAGTAATCGCAGGTCTGACCGCAGCCAGGACCGGGGAGGTGACCGGTATTATCGACGTTCACCCCCGAGATGCTTCGCATGCAATGAGCGCGGGCACTATGCTAATCAATGCAGAAACCAATGGCGGTCGATCGATAACCGCCCACCGATAACTGTGGACACACGAAAGGGACGTTCGGCTTCTCCGCAGAGGTTCGACAAGGAGGATGTAAGCAGGCCGTCTACTTCACAAGATCCTGACCTGCAAAAGCGAATTGATGAACTTGGAAAGGACCTAGCTACGGTCTCCGCGTTTGTCCAGACAGAAATGGCGAGGAAAGCGGAGGAGGAACGTTTGACGAAAGAAGCAGAGGAGGAAGAACAGTGTAAGGCGGATGAGAAGCTGCAGCGGGAGAAGAAAGAACACAAGAGGTTGGAAAAGCGGCGGAAAGAAGAGGAGCACGTCGCGGATATTGAAAAGAAGGTGAAGTTACAAGTGGCGATCTATATATCTGATCAAGGGTCGAGCTCGGAGAGAGACAAAAGTGAGGAAGCTACCAAGGAGATTCGCGCGAAGACCGGGCGTTTGGTGATTAGCGAGAAGCGTAAAAGAGGCCCCGAGTCGGACTTCGAAGGAAGCCCACCGATGCTGACTCCTGCCAAGCGCACACCGAAGACGAGCAAGCCGAGACGGACAGGGGGGACGGTACGTGTCACCCGTTCGAGGGCGCAAGTTAAAACGAAGCTTTCCCCATATGTGGAGAAAGCGAAGAAGAGCTCGAGGCAGTCGGGTACGGTTGCTAAGCTTCGATTTCGAAACCAAGCGATAGAAGAGCTCCGTGGACTTGATGCACATGATCTCCAAGCTATCTGCAAAGAGGAGGGGATAGCGTACAATGGCAAAATCGATGCCATTTTCGACATCGCCAGTCATCGGACACGAAAGGCGTTCGGAGAGGTAGAGCCGATTGACTTGTCAGGCGTGATGGGCGAGACGGAGGGCGATACTACGGCAGTGGGGGAGGAGGGGAATGAAGCAGAGGCGTGAGGTGGGTACGGAACAAACGAGATATGGCGCATCGTCAGAATCCTGACAAGTTATCGATGTAGCTCGAGGTATGTGGACACAAGAGCTGAACAACTGCTCCGATTATGTGTTGTGCTGCTATCATTCACAGGGGAACTCCGTTGGAATAGCAAGATTTTGGAGAACTGGTGGAAGTTGTACGAACAACAGGGAGAGGAGTGGTTGAATCAGAGTAGTTGAGTATACATAGCAGTCTCACCGTATTGTAAGCTTCAGTATGTAGGAAAAACGACGCGTAACGTAGACACTCGCTGGCGGGAGCACCTAGCAGCATGTCGGAATAAGAAGCAATCACACTTTCATAGATGGTTGAGCACAGTCTATGATTAAGACGGGAAGTGATGTAGCACTGTTGAAGACATACAAGGGCCTGTTCGAAGTTGGGGGTGTCATTACTTTTGACCACCTCCGTGAGTGGAAACCAAAGGGAGGGTTCATGAAGCAAATCCTGGGGGGAATTTTTAGAAACCTAGGTAAGCTTTCTGACATCTCCGCATGGGGTATCAAATCGGCGATTCGTTTGTATAATGCTATCAAAGACTACCGTAGAAAGTCCACGCGCAAATACTTGAGGCGCCTAATATCTCATGTGATCCGTGTGAAGTTTGGTATGTACATGTCTGCTGACCTTATCGTACGGGTTAAGTACTACGATCGGATACGTCTGGTTGAATTGAGAAAAGTGGTGAATGATGGGATCACGGTTTGTGACTTACCTGCTTGTTTTCGGAAGCGTGCACGAAAGAAGATCCGGATCATTTGGACGAGAAACCAATCGATCGGTGATATTCTTCATAATCAACGAGCTTGTGCTGCTCGTGAAGTACTGACCTGCTGTTGCGCAGGGACGGCCTACCCGAGATCGGGAGGCCATGTATGCTTCCGACTAAGCCAGGGTGAACCACACCATCAGATTTTAGCTAACGCTAATGATATCCCGCGCCGCGCGCGGAGACGAGAGATCGAGTAGGATTGTTGTGCTGCGAGGTTGTTGATGGATTCTCGAATTGGGCGAATCTGAAAGGACCATGTCCGATCTTTTCGAGGGAACAATTAGCAGATTGTATGATGGAAGCCGAATCGAGGGAGGATAGACTATCGTTAGCGGATGTAATCAAGGTCAAGGAAGAATTGAGTGGGTTTGTTTTGACCCCGTTGGATAGAAACCCGGGTGAAACTTTGGTGATGTGCCTGGCGGCTTACCATGCAGCTATGATGGGTACATTTATGTCAAGCCTGGGCTATCGGATTATCCAATCTCCGGTCGCAGAAGTGCTGAGGGAAACAAAGGAGGCCGTCGTAAGGGAGGGTCTTTGGCGTTTTGCCAAGTGGAACTCGAAAGGGACGTTCGGGGAAGCATACGTGCTTCCGAAACACAAAGATGTCACACGTTTCCAGCCTATCTGCCCTACATTTAACGAGTCGATGGTACGTACGGGCAAGGCGGCTGCAAAGGCCCTGAATCATTTGTTGTTCCATCTCCATGTGGACTGTCACTTCAATCTGCAGGCAGTGTCCCACCTAGCCGACAGGATCCAGCGTATGAACAGGAAGATCGATCGGTTGTCACGGGTGTATGAGGTGGAGTCTACCTCATATGACATCAAAGAGATGTTTAGTAGACTTCCACACAGCGATATTCTAAATGCGGTCGATTGGATAGTGGAGCACCACAAAAGTAAAGGGAGATCCTCTGTGAGGGTAAATACCAAAGGTAAGGGGGCTACCTTTGGAACGACCACGGGTGCAGATCACTGGCGTAAAATTGATCTTGATGAGTTAGTTAGATTCATTCATCTCGAGCTGCAGCATACATACACATTCGCTACCGGGGTGCTGCTTAAGCAGGTGGTAGGCATCCCCATGGGAGAGAGCACCAGCCCACCCTTGGCGTGCATTATGTGCGCGTTTGCGGAAGTTAAATTTTTGAACAGTATTGGTAGGTATAGGACGCGAGTCTTTGGCTTGAGACTGATGGATGATGTCATCCTGGTCACAGCATCAATGTACGTTGAGGCCCGAGAGGAAGTGATGCGCAGATTTCGATGCTGCTACCCGGACAACCTGGTTTTGAAAAGGACAGATAGTGGTGATGGTGTTTTGCAATTTTTTTGGTGTGAGATTCGCACCAGTCAGAGGAGTCCCTACTTAGGAGTCGTGCAACTTGCGAAGAATGAGGAAACAACCTGGGCTGAGGAAAGGTTAGCGTTTCAGAACGGCCAGTCCTACTCCTCATGGGGGAGTAAGCTCCAAAAAAGTGCTATCATCAGTGGTCACCTGCACCGGATCGAGAAAAATACGACGGTCCGATCAGAGATACCTAGACGGGTGCTCTCTGTGAAAAGGGAATTCCGACTCACGAATTTTCCAGCAGATTGCTTCGAGAAGGTTCTGAAGCACTTCGCAGTTCGGAAGGACGACATCTGGAAGCATACAGTGGAACTCTTATGTGTGGGTTGAGTGGCTGCAAGTTGGTGGGGACGGTCCGTCACTGACTGGGTTTACCTGTCTCTGCACGATCCAGTCCCATCAGTGTAGCGCTTGGGTTTGGCGGTTCACCTCTGACTGGTCTGTACGTTACGGGTACTTCCTGTTTGTATGGGAGCATTGTACTCGGGTTTGTTAATGCTGCTGATCTAGCTTTGATTTGGTTTGCGATGGAGTGTTGACTGTGAAGTAAAGCAGTGCTGTATTAGTGTGTGATTATGTGTCGATAGGGCTAATTTGAAGGTTTGATGATGATGGAGACGGAAGGTAGTGTTAGCATGTTGGCTGGGTCTAGAATAGTTTCCGTTGTTGGGGCCCTGGTACCACTGGACTCCAGGGTCAGAAGAGGTCAATATCTGCCGTGCAAGAGCTTACAGGAAAAAAAGGCTTGTTTAAACTGCTTACCTTAGGCGGGTATCTCAGCTGGGCCCGGTACCGGGTTTTTCGTTTGTACTTGTTTGTCTGTGAAGTGTGGTGTGGATTTGTTTTTTACGGGAGTCAGACACTTTGACGCAGTCCGCGGATGTATATATACGATATATACGATGAGGTCTATCTCTTTCAGGACTGACGTAGCTGAATATCACCCGGCATTCCGGAGTGTAGGGGATGGACAGCACGGAAGTGGGAGTGATGGTAAGAAGGGTTTAGGTTGAGGGTGAAGATAGGTGGTACCCCCTGAGGATGGCAACGTGGCGGTTGCCCAAACGCGGCGTCGGGGACGCCCAATCCTGATTCATGATGATTTTTAATTTTATAATCATTCGAGTTGACATTCTGTGTACGTGTCTTGCGCCTTTGACGCATTTTGCATGAGTTTACTTGCTCTGCTCACCTTTGTATCACTTACCTAACTTCTTAAATTTGTAAAAATTTTGGCAGCACTTCCCTTAGAGAAGCGTCATTCCAAAATTCATACAAAGTTAAATACAGAATCTGAAATGATTCTGACTTCGTAAAAGTCAAATTTTGTCTAACTCTCCGAATTAGCAAAAAAACGGGCAGCACTTCCAATAGAAAGGAAGAATTTCCAGATTTTTATTAAACTAAATATAAAAACTTGGACAAAAATTAAACTTTGAAATGTCAAATTCAACTAACTCCTTATATTTGTAGAAGTTTTGACAACTCTTCCCGTAGAGAAAGTAACTTTTCAAAATTTATACAAAACCAAATAAAATAAATGATCCCAGAAAATGCAAAAACTGACTTAAGTAAAAAAACTTCAGCTCAGAAAATGCAGGAATTTGACTAACTCTTATAACTCTAGCACATGGCGATCAACTAAAACAACTACCTATTCACTGAAATTCAGACTAAGTAAAACTTTCACTCAGCTACATGCAAGTCTAAGCCACAATGGTAAGTACTCTCAGTCAGTCTCAAAGTTGAACCTTGTTCAAGTTAATAATAGTTCATAGTCTTTCAATGGTTTATCATGTTTTACCCAGGTTACATAAGGCGTAAAGCTAGATCATTCAACTTATAAACAAAGTATAACTCAGCCATTGAATATACACAAACAACTTATATGCAGGGTTACCAGCCCGTACGTACGGAGGTCCCCGGGCAGACCTTCGTACGTACGGGCGTTCGGGGTCCGTATGGGGTCCAAACCCGACGGCGTTCGGCCCCCGCCAAAAATTATTTCGGGGCCTAAAAATAATTATTTTTTTCTGAATTTGTTTTTGTGAGTTCTCTATAACGTGAGGTACATGCCTGTAAATTTTCAAGTCATTTGCTTTAGCCCAATAAGAATAAAAAATCGTCAAAGATGGCGGTGTCAAAACGTGCTCTCTTACGTATTTTTTTATTTTTTACTTTTTGTTTTCACTTCAGTTCGGAGTCTAAACAATTTTATTATTTTTAGAAACTTTTTTAGTGAGTTTTGTATTATGTGAAGTACACATCTATAAATTTTCAGGGCATTTAGCTTGGCTAAAAAAAAATAAAAAATCGCCAAAGATAACAGTGTCGAAAACATGCTCGCGCACTCACTAAATTTAATTCTCTTTTTATTTTTATTTATTTTTATTATTCGTATTTATTTTCCGTATTTAATTTTTATTACAAATTTGGTAAGAAATTCAGATTTAATTCTCAGGCAAATCTCGTTTAATTTATTTTCTTCATAACATTTTTTTTTTTTATTTTTTTTATGACTTTTTTTTTTTTTTTTTTTTTTTTTTTTTTTTTTTGCGTTCGGCCCGAATAGCCGAACGCATCCCCAAGGGGTCCCATACGTTCGGGCGTTCGGTCCGTCCCGAATGCCGGTTACCCTGTATATATATATATAGTGGGGAATAAGTATGTGACGACAACTTCTCACAATCACAGTGAGACTCCCCACAACCATATATACATGTATGTGATCACAGAAAGTCAAATCCAAAGTCCGAACCACAGAACATACCTGCAATCATATCAAAAAGTCAACCAGAGATCCACACTATACACGGAGTCAACTTCAATCATTCTCTATACTCATACCCCTCGCTTTACCAT